GCGGAAAGGCCAAAAAGAAAAGCCCCTCCAAGGCCAAGGACGTGGAGGAGATCGCCGACAGCGAGGTCCAGAGCGAAGCTGAGTACGAGATTGAGGCAATCCTATCCGCAAAAAAAAGGGCCAATTCGAGAATGTATCTATGGTCCTCGTGCCGCTCGCAAAAACGCGTCCCAAGCTCACTCGTCTCCGCGCTTCAGAGCAAGATCGGGTACTATGTCAAGTGAAAGGGCTACGACAACGAGCACAACAGCTGAGTAATGGAGGACGACGCGTAGGTGCATCCCTCCCTCGTGTGCGCCGTGGACTCACCGCGGTGCAGAAACGCGCCAAAGTTGATCAAGGCGTACTGGGACAAGGACGAGAAGAAGTCTCCCAAGAAGGCACCTGAGCCGGCTTCCAAGCGCACGGCGCGCAAGTCCGTCGCCACAGAGGACAACTACTCCGACGCGGGGGCGTCCGCGTCCGCCGCGAAGAAGCGCGGGCGCAAGTCATCGGTCAAGGCGGCCGACAAAGAGGACGACCCCGAACCGCGTAAGACGGGCGAGAAGAAGACCCTCGCGTCGGCGTCGGCGTCTGGCGGGGCTGCTGCCTCCGCGAACGAGGCGCCCGAGAACATCGAGATCGGGGACATGACGGAGCACATGCACGCGCCGACCTGGGAGCACCTAATCAAGATGATCGACACCGTCGAGCGCGTCGAGGAGCAGCTCGTCGTGTACTTCACGCTGTGCATCCCCTTCGTATTGGTCTTTGTCTCCACGTATTATCTAACTTGCCCTTCGCACTAATAATACCAACGACCACGTCAAAGAGGACTCGGAGGTATGCCAGGAAAATTTTCCAAAAAGTACGCGGGTCCCTTTCCCGCCCAGGGCCGCCCTATCCCGCGCTCCATCTAACACGCCCCGCAGTTGCTCCAATTCTACGGGAAAAAACTGCGCTGGAAAGAGTCCAGCGACTGAGGCCTCCTCGCCCCTCCCTTCCACATTTATCCTATATCCCTGTTAGTGATATGCAGGGCTCGGGCCTGAAAATTTTCAAGCCCAAGCCTGGGCCTGAAGCCCGGGCTTGAGTGCCAGTAACAATTTAGACTACCAGCTTCAATTTCAGGTGCGGAAGCTCGTTCACAAGTTTCAATTCATGGGGCAGGTTTTGGAGGTCAACTCACTGAAAACCGCTCCAGTTCACAGCAGTTCGCAAACTCGACTCCCGAGTCCGAAAATGGAAATATGTTTGTTGAGACGGTTCAGAAGTGCGGGCTATCGCTTAGTCAGCCCATTGATTAAGCCCGGGCCCAAGCCCAAGCACGGGGCTTGGGGCCCCATCTGAGGGCTCGGGCCCGGGCCTGGGATATCTTAATCCCGGGACACCTCAAGCCGAGCCCAAGCCCGGGCTTCCAGGCCGAGCCGGGCCCTAAATATCAAAGATTCCCTGTGCATATACAACTACCTTTTTCTTGTCCTTCGCGTCTGCGTATGTATGATGACATGGAGGATCCCCCCTTCCCTTCCCTTCGGATGTGTCGGTGTGCGGTCGGTATACTCACCGTCTCAATACAGAATACACAATATATTACTGCTGCTTACTCCACCTCGCCGTCCGGGGTCCGCATCCCATTCCATAATCCATTGCAGCGAAATATCCCCGCCGGCGCTCCGCAAGCATCCTCATCTAAGGGTCTAAGAGTCTAACCTGGGTTTTCGCTCGACGTCGCGGTAACATGACTACGGAGAATGTGGATTGTATTACTTATATACATAGCGGGCCGGGGATGTGCGCGGCTCGCCCGCGGCGCGACGGGGAGCCCAAAATCAAATCGACAGGGACGCCCAAAGCGACCCGCGAAACGCGTCCTTAAAAGCAGCGAAAAAGCAGCGCAACAATGACAGGAGGTCAGATCGGGCGCACCTGAGAAAACGCGGGGGCTTTAAGGCGTTTGTTTTTGCTGGAACAGCTCCCGCGTCCGCGTCCTCAATAGGGTACCGCCTCAAACGCATCCAGAGTCCCCTCCAGCCGAGCGTGTTACAGACACGAGGGCGTACGTACATGCACTGCCTATCGAACGCGGAGAATTCGGCGCGCACGGAGAACTCGGCGGCAGAACGGAGAACTCGTTCGAGGGGTTCCCAAGACGAGACAGGGGGAAATTTCAGGAACGCTAAGATGACGTTGCGGTAGCTCAAGGAGTCATCGATGAATGAATAGATGGACGAACGAATGAAGAATGGATTAATAGACGGACGAAAGCGAATGAGTTGATAGGTCTTGGTAGGCACAGCACACAACCTCTCTCAGCCCTACCCCGGGGGAAATTTCAGGAACGCTAAGATTTCATTGCGGTAGCTCAAGGAGTAATCGATGAATGAATAGCTGGACGAACGGATGTCAGTGAACGAATGGATTAATAGACGGACGAAAGCGAATGAGTTGGTACGCCTTGGTAGACACCGCACACGAGCTCTCTCAGCTCCACCCCCCGGTTATGCGGGGAGCGCGCGAATTTAAGGCCTCGGGCGCACAGGCCCCTACAGCCCGACACAGCGCCTGAGTGACCTGTTTCACGCTCTTCGCGATCTCGATGTTTCCTGTGTCTCTGGGGTGACAGCCAGGATGGACACCTCCGGCTCCTTATCTGCGACCAGCAGACGCGTCCACAGACGCCGCCTCCGCGCCGCCTCGGACTCCTCGACGGCTGGAGGCGTCATAGGACCTCCGGCTCTCTGCGCTACCTCGGGCGCCCCGCGACCATCGGTAAACGTTGCCCTCACATTCCTCTGCAGCCGAGTCTCGATGCACGTTCTATGAGCGCACCGAGCTCGCCTGCGCGGCAGGGACACGAGGTACATAAGAAGAGAGAAAGAGTAGGAGGGAGTAATAACCCTAACCTATCTGCCCCCTGTCCGGCTTGACCGGCCCGAATCCCCTTGATAGAACCTGATCCGATCGGGCGTACGCGTGATCAAGGTGCTATGTGTATGAGGTGTGCGGGGTGCCGTAGTTAAGTTTTGGAAATGGTGGGTTCTAGGGGCCAGCCTGCCGCGGGCTGGGTACGACCGTCGTGCGCGTGATCAACGTAACGCAAGACTTCCACGGCCAACAGGTGAGTTGAGAGCAGCAGAGAAGCTAGAGCCTCTCGGTGCTTTGGAGTAAGTACTGTACAATTACATTGAATTCAGCCGTCATACCTCACCCATCCCTTGGTCGATGGTGAATATTGCTATTTTGTCACGCGTCACCTCGGGGGTAAATTTCGTCACCGTCCATCCAAAATCGGGTCCGCGACGCGTAAAATTGAAAATTTTCATTCCGGTGGTCGAATTTTTCGGTTCCGTCTGGGTTCCATCACGCGAAATTTCGGCCGTGGTCGAATGGTCGAATTGGTATTTCGGGTCACGCGTCCCCCCCCGGTCGAATTGAATGTAATAATACAGTAATTTCACTCATAATGGATGTCAAGGTCGGAACCGTTAGTCCATGGAGATAAATATTGGTTAAACCTGTATCCACGATAGCAGGTGAACGTTGAACGAGAGAGGCACACCGGGCGCGACCGAGGGTTTTCTATCCTCGCCACTCTAAGCGGGGGACTGAGAAAAAAGGTCTGAGAGTACAGTGCATGGCTCGGGCCTGAGTCGAACAGGTGATATCTGCTTTCAACAGGGCGAAACAGACGTTCATTCAGCGCAGATGCGCACCGCGCGCGACCGAGCCTTCTTTATCTACTCCCGTACCGTCCGTACATGTATCCTAAAAATTCTAATACGGGATTACGGTAAAAAAAAGGAGTGGAATGACTCGGATGGCTCGGGCCTGAGTCGAACAGGCGATATCTGCTTTCAACAGGGCGAAACAGACGTTCATTCAGCGCAGATGCGCACCGCGCGCGACCGAGCCTTCTCTATCTACTCCCGTACCGTCCATACATGTATCCTAAAAATTCTAGTATGGGACTACGGTAAAAAAAGGAGGGGAATGACTCGGATGGCTCGGGCCTGAGTCGAACAGGCGAGATCTGCTTACAACACTTTCGTAAACAGCCTATATTCAGCGCAGATGCGCACCGCGCGCGACCGATCCTTCTCTCCCTATTCTTATACGTTTTATACTTGCCATCGTAAGCGGGGGTTGAGAACAGGGGTGGGTGGAGCAGTGATTCGAACAGGCTCATCGTCGATTGGGACGGACCAGATGCGCTTGACCCGCTCTCTCCGCTCTCGTACCTTCTTTATGAAAATATTCAAGTGCAGGAGTGCAGCGAAAAACAATCGAAGACTATATGGATAATGGCTCTTGCCTGAGTCGAACAGGCGAGATCTGCTTTCACCAGGTGGGAAGAGGGTGTTTCACTCAGCGGAGATGTGCACCACGTGCGACCGAGCCTTCCCTCCCGATTGTAGTACGTTTCTATACTCGTAATTTCACGGCCGGACTGAGAGAAAGGAATAGACGGAGCAGCTAATTCGTGTTGACAGATCGTCGATGGGGGCCAGATGCGCTTTACACGCTCTCGTACCGTATTTATCCTAAACATTCATGCAGAACTGCGGGGGGAAAAAGGAGCGGAAAGATATAATGGCGCGGGCCTGAATCGAACAGGCGGGGTCTGCTTTTAGTAGGTACGAAGGGTTTCATTCGACGCAGATGTGCGCTGCGCGCGACCGGGCCTTCTCTCTCCATCCGCTACACTGATTTTATGCAATGCGATGGGCACAGCGCAATAAAGTCACAGCAGCATAAGGAATTATGAATTTTGAACAACAGGCACGGGGCTATTGGTAGTTATAAGGCTTCTGTCCGCGGGGGACTGAGAAAAAAATAAAGGTGACCGTAGTGTGGCTCGGGCCTGAGTCGAACAGGCGGAATCTGCTTTCAACATGGGTGAAACACATTCTGATTCGACGTAGATGCGCACCGCGCGACCGGGCTTCTTCTCTCTCGTACCGTATTTATCGGAAACATTCAAGTGCGGGACTGCAGCAAAAAACAATCGAAGACTTTTATGGCTCGGGCCTGAGTCGAACAGGCGGGGTCTGCTGTCAACAACAGAATGAGATGTGAATTTAACGCAGATGCACACCGTGCGACCGAGCCTTCCCTCCCTGTTATGGTACGCTTCTATATCGTAATTTCAAGCTCGTACCTTCTTATCCCAAATATAGATGCAGGACTGCGGTAAAAAAACGAGTGGAAAGTCTCCATGGCTCGGGCCTGAGTCGAACAGGCGGGATCTGCTTTCAACAGGCACACAACCAAGCAATTCGACGCAGATGCGCACCGCGCGACCGAGCCTTTCCTCCTTGTTCTAATATGTTTCTATATTACTAACTTCCAACGGAGGAATGAGAAAAATGGATAAACGGAGGAACTCATTCCGTGTAAACATATCGTCGATGGGTCCAGATGCGCTTTACACGCACGCTTACCTTATCCTAAATATAAGTGCAGGACTACGTGAAAAAAAAAAAGCAAACAGACAACATATGGCTCGGGCCTGAGTCGAACAGGCGAGATCTGCTTTTAAGTGGACAGGAACACACGTATTGGACGCAGATGCGCCCCGCGCGCGACCGGGCCTCTTCTCTCCATCTAGGACACCGGTTTTCTTCGATGCGATGTGCACAACAGGCATTGCATGGCCCAAGTTGGCCGAATCGTGGTAGCTATCGTGGTGAATGAAATGATCGGAGTATCGTTGCAACGCAGTTTCCGAGCCTTCCCTCTCGGTTCTAGTACGCTCCTATACTCGTAATTTCAAGCGGGGGAGTGAGAAAAAGGGTCTGAGAGCACAGTGCATGGCCCGGGCCTGAGTCCAACAGGCGGAATCTGCTTTCAACAGGTGCGAGGTTCATTCGACGCAGATGCGCACCGCGCGACCGAGCCTTCCCTCCCCATTATAGTATGTTTCTATACTCGTAATTCCAGCGCGGACTCGAGGAAAAAAAGCTGACAAGGAGATGCAGATGCGCCGGCGGGCGACCAAATCTTCTCTCTCCACTCGCGTACATTCCTTATCCTGAATATTCAAGTGCAGGACTGCAGCAAAGAATAATCGAAGACTACATGGTGCGGGTCTGAGTTGAACAGGCAGAATCTGCTTTTAACAGTGGAGAAGCAGATGTGAATTCAACGCAGATGCGCGCCGCGCGCAACCGGGCCTTCCCTCCCTGTTCTAGTACGTTTATATACTCGCCATTGTAAGCGAGGGACTGAGAAACGGGGAAAGACAGAGCAGCTCAGTCGTGTCGACAAATATACTGGGTCCTACTGCGCTTTACACGCTCGCGTCCCTCCTTTATCAAATTACCCTAAAGGCAGGACTACGGGAAAAAGCATACAAACGCTACATGGCTCGGGCCTGAGTCGAACAGGCGAGATCTGCTTTCAACCGTGGAGAAGCCGAGAAGTCCCTCGAATGCAGATGTGCGCCTTCCCTCCTCCTCTAGTGCACCGGCTTTATTCGATGCGATGTGCACAACAGGCATGAATCCAATATGAATCCAAGCGAAAGACAGACGTGCCGGGCGCGGATCAGATCAGGTGAGAGACGGCAAGTAGCGGCGACGCGGAGCGGCTGTTGCCGCTCGCAAGGCGCTCGCACTAAATATATTAAATATAAATGGCGAGGTAGGATATAAATAGCGAGGTAGTATATAAATGGCGAGGTAGTATTAGCACTCGTTTGATTGAACCGAATCGCGGTGAATGAAATGATCGGAGAATCATCTGCGCAACGCAGTGCAAGTCCGGCACAGGAGTCGTACGACTTGACCGTCTTGAGAAGTTGAAGCCTCTTGAGGCTGTCCGAATAACCCCGCATGGACCGGGCGGCTTCCGCGTGCTTACTGTGTTATTCCTAGCCTTACAGCTCTGCCGCAGGGCGGCAGCTCCCGGAGGTGACCCGCGCGCGCCGTAAGCGCGGTGAGTCAGCTACCGGGGTGTGAGATTCCTCGGTTGCAAGCACTTCTCAAGACTTTTTCCGTGGGGGGGCGGAATGCGCAGTGGATTTACGCGGAGAGTGGGGTCGCTGGCCGGCGGGTGGAGTAGGGGGGGAGGACGGAGGCGCGATATGATAGATAACGATTCCAAATTTACGCGGGGGGAGAGTTTCCGCATTTGGAACGGATCGCTGCCGAGGGACAGACACAGGCTTTAAAGACTCGCGTATTGGGGAGGTGGGTGCGTTGCTTCCTCATGGCGCGCACCAGCACCAGCAGCACGCAGGACTCGGACGATGCGACCGTCGCGCATGCGAAAGGCGATGCAACAGGGGCCCCGCCCACGACGATGGCGGCCCCGAAGAGAGACCTCCAGCTCGACGGCGGCGAGGAGCGGGTGCGCTTCCGCCAGCGGTGGTGGCAATTGTGGTGCGCCCCCCCGATTAGACTAGGATTCACTAAAAACTGACTTGCGCTCGAACGCAGGGTCCCGGCCAACCGCCCCCCGCCGCCGCGCACCTCGCTCGACGACGCGGAGCTGAGCCCCTACGTGACCGCCTCACTCCTCTCGCGGCTGACCTACACCTGGATCACGCCGATGATGGTCCTCGGCTACCAGCGCACACTGCAGGCCGCGGACCTCTGGAAGATGGGGCCGGAGCAGGAGGCGGGCTTCCTCACCGACGCGCTTGACGCCGCGTGGGCGCAGCGCGTCGCGGCGGCCGCGGAGTGGAACGCGCGCGTCGACCGCGGGGAGGCGCGCGCGGGGCTGCTCCGGCGCGCGGGGTGGGCGCTGCCGGGAAGGGATCGCGCGGCGCTCGAGGGCGCGTGGCGCAAGGAAGCGGGGCGCCGCGAGGCGAGCCTGGCATGGGCGCTCAACGACGTGCTGGGGCATCTGTTCTGGCGCGGTGGCGTGTTCAAGGTACGTTCTACCTCCTCTCCTCGCCCATTCCCTCAACTCGTATTTATCGGCAGGTGGTCAGCGACACCTCGCAGCTGATGGGCCCGCTGCTCGTTAAGGCGCTCATCAACTTCTCCAAGGCCCGCGCGGCGGCCAAGGCGGCCGGCGCCGCGCCCGCGAGCATTGGCAACGGCGTCGGCATGGCCGTCGGGCTCTTCTGCGTCATCGTCCTCGCGAGCATCTGCCAGCATCAAGTGCGCCCATTTATCCGTTTACATTTTACTTATTTACTCATTCATATTCTTTAGTTCTTCTTCCGCTCGATGACGACGGGTGTCCTCGCGCGCACGGCGCTCACGGGCGCGCTCTACCGGCGCGCGGTCGGGCTCACGCCCAAGGCCCGCACGCGCCTCAGCAACAGCGCCGTGCTCAACCACGTCAGCACCGACGTCAGCCGTGTCGACGCGTGCGCGCAGTGGTTCGTGCGTACTTTCTCACTACTTGTATTATTTCTATTTGAGTATCGTTGACGCGCCGCCGCAGCACGCAGCCTGGACCGCGCCCATCCAAGGTGCGTTCCATCTAATCCTACTCCATCCCCATTCAACGTAAGGCTGACCCGCCCCCAGTCACCGTCTGCCTCATCATCCTGCTCGTCGAGGTGCGCCTCCCCCTTTCCCTCCTCCAATAAAAGAAAATCACGCTCACACGCCCGCAGCTCGGCCCCGCCGCCCTCGCCGGCTTCGCGCTCTTCCTGCTCGTCATCCCCATCCAGGAGCGCATGATGGCGCGCCAGTTCGCGCTCCGCCGCGGGAGCATGCGCTGGACGGACGCGCGCGCGCGCGCGGTGCTCGAGGTGCTCGGCGCGATGCGCGTCGTCAAGTACTTCTGCTACGAGGGGAGCTTTTTGGCGCGTGAGTGGTTTGCTGTTTATTCCGCTTTCGCGGTTTCGCGCTCTGTATGTGTATTTTCGGCCTCGGCCGCGGGCTGCTGGTGTTCCGAGGGCTCGTCCTTCCCTCGGTCTCGGGCTCGGGCTCGGGCTCGGTCCGCCTGTGGGCCGATGGCCGCTGGTGTTCCTCGGGCTCGGGCTCGGGGGCTAGTGGTCCGCTGGCTGCTGCTCGTCCGGGGCTGCTCGTGTACTTGTCGCGGCGGAACAACGGCGCTGATACATGTTTTTTCGCAGGCATATTCGACATCCGGAAGAGCGAGCTCAAGGGCATCCGCTGGATCCAGCACTCGCAGTCGGCCAAGTGCGTTGTCTTTTTTTTTCTTTTCTTTTGTGCTGTTTTGTTTCTCGCGGTGTCCGATTTACTGATTTATTCGTCTCGTCTGCCCATCTTTCGACTTCCGTTCATCTAACTCGCCTGCCATCGTTAACTCGCCTCCCACTCGCCCTCAGCATCGCGATGGCCTTCTCGCTCCCCGTGCTCGCGGCGACGCTCGCGTTCGTGACGTACACCGAGACGTCGAAGCAGTTCGACGTCGCGATCGTGTTTGCGAGCTTTTCGCTGTTTCAGGTGCGTTGGGTCTTGCTGCTTTCCTTCTTTCCCCTCTTCATTTCCTTACGATAAATGAACTTACGCAATCACACCTCCCCTTCCTCATCACAAATACTCGCGTAATCAACTCACTCACTCAACTCACTCACTCACGCGTACCGAACGCAACCGCAACCGTTCCTCCTGCCCTTCCCCTTCCTTCCTTCCCGCTTCCCCATCCTCACCCCAAATATCAATACTGACCCACGCACGCACACAGCTCCTCCGCCAACCAATGATGTTCCTCCCGCGCGCGCTCTCCGCGATCGCCGACGCGCGCAACGCGCTCGCGCGCCTCACGGCGGTGTTCCACGCGGAGACGCGCGAGGGCGACGCGTTCGTGATCGACGCGGCGCTGGGGGCGCGCGGGCTCGCGGTCGAGGTCGAGGGCGCGGAGTGGGTGTGGGAGGAGGGCGCGCCGGCGGACGAGGGGAAGGAGAAGGACGGGAAGGGCGGGAAGAAGGGAAAGGAGAACGCGCGCGAGACGGAGAAGAACAAGGAAAAGGAAGACGAAAACGACAACGAAAACGAAAAGGAGGAGGAGAAGGCGGAGCCGTTCGCGGTGCGCGACATCACGCTGGCGATCCCGCGCGGGACGCTCGCAGCGGTCGTCGGGCGCGTGGGGAGCGGCAAGTCGTCTCTTTTGCAGGGGCTTATTGGCGAGATGCGGCTGGCGCGCGGGCGATGGGCGTTTGGGGGCCGCGTGGCGTATTGTCC